ACTTTGAAGTCTATTTTGTCAGATATTAGAATTGCAACCTCTGCTTGTTTCTTAGTGCCATTTTCTTGGAATATTCTTTTCCATCCTTTTACCTTAAGGTAGTACCTGTTTTTGAAGGTGAAATGAGTTTTTACAGACAGCAAAGAAATGGATTTTTTTAAATCTATTCAGTTAGCCTGTGTCTTTGACTGGGTAGTTAAGTCCATTGATATTTAAGGTTATTATTGAAAGGTGTATATTGGTTACTGTCATTTTCATTGCTGTTTGTGTTCTCTGTGTATTGGTTGTCAATTTGTCTCAGTCTCTTAATATTTTTAGCTGGTCCTGATCCTATTTGCCCCCAGATGCACTCATTATTTCTGTGATTTCCAACCTACTATAGAGGATTGACTCCTGCAGGCTACAAATAGGCTCACCAACATTTAACTGTCATTTTCATTTGGCCAGTAGGAAAGGAATCCCAAAGGCTGGAACAGGCAGAGGTTTTCTTCTCTCTGTGTTCTAGATGGCTTTGCCTTCAAAGGTCACGCATTTCCCCATGGCAGCAGATACCAGCAGCTTGGCCTACCATGATTCCAGATTCTGTTGGGTCCAATAGCTATGCTTCAGCAGCAGCATTTTTTTATTTATCCTTCCAATCTCCAAGTAGGATTGACTTCCTGGTGTTGCTAATTATTGACCTCTCCAATCTCCTATTTGGCTTCTCCATCACTTTGTGTAAATAGTCTCCTGTATTACATTTCCTTTGTAATAAATATTTAAAGTGGTTTCTATTTTCCTGGACAAGCCATGACTGTTTTAAATGGTCAAATTATATTGATTTAGCAACTACTGTTAAATTTATTTGTATTTCTCTGATAAACTCAATGCTTTCAACAGCATTCAAATATGTTTAAATCTTTTCTATAAGTATTCAAAGTGAAACAGAACAAAATGGCCTGGGCTCTAAAGTCTCCAAAGAAGATTTTATCTCTGTCTTATGGTCTTCATCATCTTTTTTTTTTTAAAAAAAAAAAAAACATTTTACAGCTCTTCATTGAGTAACAAATGTTGAAAAACTTAATAGCATGTTTGGTTGAATAATCTATTCAGGGGCTGTGGAGGTGGCTCAGGGAATAAAACATTTGTTGTGCAAGTGTGAAGACTGAAGTGTGTGTAACACAGACCAGAAGTGACCGTAGCCCAGGCCCTGTCAATTGTGAGACCTCATTTTTGTGGACAGAAGGAGTGTTTTCTGGCTTCCACTACTGGGACATGGGAGACAATGCTTGAACCCAGCAGTACTTTCTTTGGTTTGCATATAGAAGTCAGATTGCCCAAAGACTGAAGAGAACTGATAGGACTGTGGAATACAGGACAGAGGAAGCCCAATTTTGCCTCCTGAGCCCTAGGAAGTCACAGTAAGGGTGATCAGGCAGGTGTTTCCTGACTTTGCAACAGCCTCTGGGGAAGATTGCAGACAAGACGAGGGATCAGGCCTTGTCCAAAGTCATAGTGAGGACTATGAGTCTCTAGAGAATCTCGTTGTGCCCCTATTGTGAGTTCTGGAATGTAACCGTCATCGAATTTTACCTGGGAGAGTCGGGGAGAAAAAAAAAGTCAGGGCTTCATGTCGAGTTCCACATTTCAGATCTGTAGAAAACCCAACCGTTTCTAGGAGTCAAGGATAGGTTAGGGTATACTGGAAAACCCTCAGTTCCGTTCGAGGCCTTGAAACAACGCGAACGTTCCTAGTGATTATCCTGGCACTGAAGTGTCTGGACTACTGGTAAGGATAAGTACGTCTGTGTTCTGTTCCACCTCCAGAGTTGGGCCTTTTATTTGAGAGTCACTGAGGAGAAAGTACCAGAGATGTGTGAGAGGGCACGATGAGACCCTGAGGGTAAATTGACGAAGCCCCAGGCATGCTAGAATCTCGTCAAATAACGCAGTTGCTGTCTAGGAAGGAGCGGCTGTGCTCCCGCTTTCTTGTCCCGGTGGATTCTGGGAATCCGTGCCATGCTCTACTTTTAGGTGGTTGAGCCTGAGAGGAGCCAGTAGTCTGTCAGGGGCTGTGGTGAGTCCTCGAGCTTTAGCATCCGGCTGCGGCAGGGCTGACTCTCCTGTGGCCCGGAGTGACTGGTAGGAATAAGCTCTTCCCCCTCCCGCTGCAGTAGGCAGAGCCGCTAGGGTTGGCTTTCCTTCAATTTTTTTTTTTTTTGTTTCGGAGACCGTTGTGTTTGTGTTTGTTTCGGTTTAGGTATTTGAGACCAGGTTTCGGTGTGTAGTCCAAACTAGCAACTCGGCAGCACTCCCCAGCCTCCCCACAGCCAGTGCAGGTGACATGCCAGGCTTAGAAGTCATTTTCTCACACTGGCAGAGGGGACAGGGTTCCAGGTGTGGCGCCACACAGGTGCTCGCCGAGGACTGACTGAGGAAAACACGACGGCGGACAGTTGGCACCACGCTGCTTGATCCCTGTGGTCCGTGGGGTACCTGACTGAAGTTGACCTGTAGGAAAGTATTTCCTCATGCCCCACTGCCACCTGCATGGACTCTGGGTTTCACACCTTGTTTTGAGTCTGCTGAGTGGACCCAAGGTGTGGGATGTGCCATGAAACCTGAGGGTGGACTGAGGAAGCCTCAGGCTTGATAAAAGGACTTCCACATACTCGAAACACAACCGCCACCCCTAGCCCCCAGGCCCTTCCTCCTCGTACACTCAGAATCCAACCTATGGTTTTGTCTTTCTTTATACAGAAAGGCGTTACATTTTTTAAAACTTTTATTTATGTGTGTGCGTGTGCCCCCACAGTCCTGAAGACGACGTCTAACCGTCTGGAGCATGACATACAAAATCGCTGGGCCGCCCTGTCCACATTCCCCACCCCCGACCCCCAGCGAGTCCTACAAATCAAACTCAGGTCTTCTGGAAAAGCAGCAACCTCTCTTAACTACTGAGCCATCTCCTCACTCCCTTGTTTTGTGTTTTCTTTGTTTTTTGTTTTAAATGATTTTTATTACACTTTTAAATATTTTATACAATGTTTCATGATTAGATTCACCTCAACTCCTTCCTTTAACTCCTCCCACACCCACCCCAACGTCCCTATCGCCCCAACTTCATTGCTGCTTTTTAAAAAAATTGATGACCCACTGAATCCAATTTGTGCTTTCCATCTACTTCTTGCTGTGGGACCATCCACTGGAGGATGGTTACCCTACTAGGAACCAGGGAGTCGGTTTTGCTTATTTTGTTTTTAAAGGAACTTGCTCTGTAGACCACTTTGACTTTGAAGTGCCATACTTTCCCCTAGCCTCCTGTATGCTGAAGTTACAGGCGGCTCCCACCACTTCCACTTTAGGACACATTTTCTAAGGGCCAAGCTCTGTGAGGGGATATATTGAGACTTTGACACTAGACAGAAAAAGCCCCAGCCCTGACAGAAGCCCTGATATAACCCAGCCACAACTTTCATCTCCCTACCCCCATTCCTTCCTCTTCCTCAGTAGACTCTGAGAATCAACCATCATCTTTTTGTTTATTTAGACAGTTTTTGTGTTTTCCTTTGTTTGAGACAGGGTCCCCACTATGAGCCTAGGCTGCCCTAGAACTTGCTCTGTATATCAGGTTGCCTTTGAAGTATCACACTGTTCCCTAACCTCTTTAATGCTGAGATGACAGGCTGCCACCACACCCAGTTGAGAAAACATTTTCTGAGGGCCCAGCTCTGTGAGAGGACATGTCGAGACCTTGAGGGTGGACTGAAGTAGCCCCAGGCCTGACACTATCCCCAAATAATCCAGGTCCAGTCCTTATCTCTCCAGCAGCACCATGATGGGGTAAACTTTGTTCAGATGAGCCCCAACACCCCCCACCTCTGCCTCAATAGACTCTGAGATTGAGAGCCATGTTCTAAGGATCCAGGATGAGTGAGGGGATACTAAAGAGACACTAAGGCAGACTGAAGAAACCCCAGTCCTTGGAGCAAGGCCTCAAGTAATCCCAATGCATCACGTTTGTCCACCCAATACCAAATGGTGGCCATCTGTTGGAATGAGCCGTTCCACCGTCCTTTTTGCCTCAGTGGACTCTGGAAGTTGAAGCCACATTCTAAGGTCTGCTGACCTAAGAGGATATGGGCTCTGTTAGAGAACATACATGGCGAGACCCTGAAGATGCATTCATACAGTCCTCCTGGAAGCTGTGCAAAAACTTAGGGACTTTGGTTTCCTTTCTTCACAAAGTCTTTCTTCTGTCTCACAGAAATAGGCCTTGCATCAAGGAAGGTGTATTCAGCTCATCAGAGGAAGGAGTTCAGTTATTGCACTTTGTCAAGGTAAGTGTCAGGCAGGTCCCCGATTGTAATACACATGGACTCTACTGAACTGTGCTACTTCTTGCAGTCTTCCTGAACAGGTTTAGCCAGATATAAGGTACTCTTTTGTCCTATCTCAGAATTGTGGGCTTCTGTTGCAAGAAGGTGGTCTCAGGCCAGTAGAGGGGTGGGGGCCAGATCCTGAGAGTGTAAAGTTGAGAATTCAGAATGATTGCAGAGGGTACCATATACCTGACAGCAGAGATACTCCACAGAGCCCAGCTCACCTTCCTATCAGTGATGGATATCCAGTCTTCTCACTGCCTGTAGCTGTGGGATACCTCAGGGCTCTTATAAGAAACTCCAGGGGCCAGAAGGTGAATGTCTTAGTCTGAGGCAGTGTCCTCAGGTCAGACACATGGGAAGCCCAAGCAGAGTCAGGGGTCAAGATGAGGCACAGTATGTACGGCAAGCGTCCCATCCACCATGGAGCACAGGAGCCTCCACATTTCCTTGCCCCATATGTACCACTGAGAGTGCTGCAGCCTCAAGCCCTGCGACCCAGATGTACTCTGAAGAGGCTTGCCACTGCTTCCCTCAGTTTCATAAGGGATAGGCCTGACAGGAAGACAGGTTCCTCTGTGGCTTTAGAGCATCACCCAAGAGAAAACCTGTAACAGGCTGCTCTGAGAGTTTTCAGAGATGACTGTCAGCAAAAGTGTACTCACAGTGCCTTCTTCTTTGCCCCAGGTGTCTGAGTCTGTACCACTCTGCTCCTGTCTACCCCACTACCTGCTACCTACAAGGAAAGTCATCACACTTCATAAGCAGAAGAACCAGTACTGTACGCTTCAGGGAAATCCTCGGGCCCAAAGAGAGGCACAGAGCCTGATGAGTTTCCAGGTCCCCATAGTCAAAGAGGAGGAGGCCACTGGAAAGACCTCCTCCTTTTCAACTATCTCAACCACTCAGAGGCAGAAGCCTACTGGTGGAATACCAGGTTCTCCCCAGAGTCCCCAGAGAGCCTCTTCTCCCACAACTACCATAGCCTCCATTCCGATGGAGGTTTCTGACGACCAAATAAGGAACCTGGATGATTTCCTTCCCATGTTCCAAGAGGCACTAAGACGCAAGGTGCATGACTTGGTGCAGTTCCTGCTCTACAAGTATCGGAGCAAGGAGCTGACCACCAAGGCAGAAATGCTAGCGATGGTCATCAGAGATTATATGTGGTATTACCCTGTGATTTTTAAAGAAGCTTCTGACAGCTTGACACTGATCTTTGGCATTAACATGGTGGAAGTGGACCACCTTATCCACTCCTATGTCCTTGTCAGAGCCTTAGGGATCACCTATGATGGGCTGCTGCATGATGTTCAAGGCATGCCCAAGACAGGCCTCCTTATCACCATGCTAGGTATCATCTACTTGAAAGGTGAGCATGTCAGGGAGGAGGAAATCTGGGAAGTGCTAAGTATGATGAGAATATATCCCGAACAAAATCATTGTGTCACTGGGAATCCCAGGATGCTCTTCACTGAAATTTTTGTACAGGAAGGATACCTAGAGTACAGAGAGATACCCTACACTAACCCTGTTCAGCATGAGTTCCTATGGGGCCCAAGGGCCTTTGCTGAAACTAGTAGGGAGATAATTTTGGAGTTTTTGGCCAAGATCACTGGGCTCCTCTAAGGGCTTTGAGAGATGAGGAAGAGGGAATCTGTTGAGAATTGCCACTACAAATGGCCATACACATTCTAGTGCCAGATTCAGAAGCATTCTGAATGATGTGTTTAAAGGGGGCTTTCAGTGTTTTAAGTAATAGATGGTGTGGGACTAGGGAAAGTAAGTTAACAGTGTCTTTGTTTTCCTGTTTTATATGGGTAACATTATTTTTTTTCAAGTTGTGTTCCTCTTAATTGAAGATTTCAGTAGCATGAGAATCTAAGCTTGTAGATGACATTGATAGCACATATACTTCTGTTTCTCCAGTAGAAAACTTAAGCTTTTACTGTTTTGTATAGCAAAATCTTCCATTTTATTTTGTGGTCTGGGATAAAATAACGTAACACTGGAATATGAATTTCATTTGAAATAGGAAATAATTTAATGATGTATCCAATGTCAATAGAGAAAAATAGAAGAAATTGCTAATTCTTGGTTTTCTTTATGCCTTTAATAACTTCTGTTCAGCTGTAAAAATTAAAAATATATGTGTGGATCCAAGTGTGTGTGCTTGGCTATTTGACAGTGTATAAGAAATTGCATCCTAATAAATAAGTTATCCAACTTGCTTTCTAATTGGTTCTCCAAACATTTACTGAGCACATGCTCTTTTTTAATATTTTATTCATTATTTTTATTTCATGTGTATGAGGAAATTGCCAGCATGCATGTAAGTGCACCCGTGTTTTGCAATACCCATGGAGGTCAGAAGAGGACTGTGAATTCCCTGAAACTGGAGTTACAGATGGTTGTTGGCCTCCATATGGGTGCTGGGAATTGAACCTCTGCAAGAGCAGCCAGTGCTCTTACCCACTGAGCCATCTTTCCAGCCCCAGAGCACCTGTTCTTTGCAAGGATCTGTGGGATGCTAGGAAAAGCCAGACCCACCTTTGCCCATAAAACGGTCAACTCTGTAAGGTGAAGCCATTTCAGGACGAAATGAGATGTCTTCTTAGACCAAAGGAACAAGTGAAGAAGGGATGCAGAGTGACATCCATGCACAAGGAAGAGCAGTCCAGTTACAATGTCTTGAGCTAAAGCAGTTCGGGGTTCAGAGAAAGTGCAATTCCTTCTGTGGGAGTGGACTATAATGAAGCTTCCTGGTAGCCAGCCCCAGATCCTTTCGTTTTGAGTAGTTCTATTTCTATTTTCTGAGCAGTTCCTTTCAGATGGCAAATGGATAAAGCATGGCAGAGAATCCACCTGGGTCAGGTATGTTGGTCATGTATTCTTTTCCCACTGTGGTTGAACACTACAAAAACTGCACCATTTATTCCCATCATCATTAAAGAGTTCCGGAGAGATAAAGACAAATCTCTCATGAAGTCAGAGCCAAAAGCTATTGGCTCGGTAATCTCTTCCTTGTAAGGGCAATGCCAGAGCCCAGAGTATAAAACTGATATTACAATTAGGTCATTTTGAACACAACTTGGACACGTTTGGGACAGAGCAAGAATTTGGGGATGAGGAGTGAATAAAAATATGGTTGGTGGTATAGTTCGTGTTCCTTGAGAGTTGTATAGGAACTGTGGTCCTCGGTATGATGCAGAGAGATGATGGGACTTTTAAGAGGTTGGGTCAAGTGAGAGTTCATTGGGAGCATCACCCTCAGAAAGAATTTATGTAATTCTAATAGAACCCTGGATATTTCATCTGAGAGATTTTTATAAAAGAGTGACCTCTGACTCACTCTCTAGCTTCCTGCCTTGCCATGTGTTCTGTCTCTCTTGCACAGACACACACTGTAATACTGTCAATAGGCCTTTGGTCAGAGCTGATGCTATGTTTATTGGACGTTCAGCCTCCAAAACTATGGGCTAAATAAAGTCCCCTTTAAGAGTTACCCAGCCTGGACTATTCTGTTACAGTAATGGAAACCTGATTAAAGCTGATTAAGACAAAATTATCTGAATAGAAGAGCACATTGGTGAGAGGAAAGAAATTGATACTTGTCTTGGCTGTGATAAAATATTCTGACAAAAGCAACTTAAGGGAGACAGGATTTATTTTAGCTCATAATTTATGAGTAAAGTCCATCTTGTAAGGAACCCCTGACAGCAGGAGTTTGAGGCAGCTGTTCCAGTTGCATCCATGCCAGGAAGCAGAGAATGCTAAATGCTTCTGTTTAGCTAGCTTTCTCCTTTTTATTCAGTCCAGAACTGGGACTGGGTCAGGGTTCTCCAAAGAAACAGAACCGGTAGAATGAATACATATGTATAGGGATTTATCAACTTAGCTCACAGGATAGAGTCCAAGTAGTCCAACAATGGCTGCACCACACTGGAGAGGCTGAGAATCCATAGTCACTCAGTCCACGAGGCTGGATGTCTCAGTAGTCCCAATCTGGCGCCGAAGTCCTGACAAATTCCAAAAGATCAGCTAGTCTTCAGTCTACAGCAGCAAGACGAACTCACCAGCGAGAGAGAAGGCAAGCAGCAAGAAGCCAGGTGTTCTCCTCTGCCATGGCCTTTTATACGGGCTGCCATCAGAAGGTAACACCCACATTTAGGGTGTGTCTTCCAGCTTCAGATGATCCAATCAAGATCTCTCTCATTTCAGTTAATCCCAGATCCAGTCAAGTTGACACCCAGGATTAGCCATCACAAGAACTCAAGCCCAGGAAAACCTGCTGCCCATATTTACAGTGTGTCTTCCCACCTCAATTTTAACCTAATCAAGAAAATGGGTCACAGGCAAGACCAAAGGCTTACCCAATTTCCATACTCCCCATAGGTGTGCCCAAGGACATGTCTCATAGGTGATTCTAGATCCCAACAAGAAGACAATCAATATTAACATCACAGTACTTAACTCATATTCTATAAGCTTGAATCGCATCAAGCTGAAGAATACACTACACAAATAAAATGATAGGTGATTTGGAAAAAAAATTTCACTGAATTTTATTAGTAAAGCAGCATTCTTGCCTAAATTGGCATCCTCTGTCCTACTATGACATAGTTTGGGATCTGCTAGATAATGACAGCAGCAAAATTTTCAGAGGAGATGGTGGTAACGTAGAAATCCCTGGCAGATATTAAAGACATAATGAACACCATGCTTTGCATTTACTTTATGTGCATCATAAACATTCTGATAGGACAGATGCTACCAAATTGATTTCATAGGAGAACTGGAAGTTCATAAGGCTTGATAATTTTCCCACAATTGTATGGCTCAAAGTGACATGGCTAGAGTGTGGTCCCTGTTGTTTTATAAGTAGAACTGGGTCATTCATAAAATTCATATGCAAAAGTCTGTAGCCCCAGTACCTGAGAATGTGGCAGTGTATTAATACTGGGTCTTTAAGGGGGGGAGAACATAAAATAAAGTCATTAATCCAATAACTGGTGTCCCTATAACATGAGAGAGAGACAAAGACAGAGACACAGAGAGAGGGGGAGAGAGAGAGAGAGAGAGAGAACAAATAGGTAAAGACATAGGGGAGAAGAAAAGTTTCTACAAGCCAATAAGAAAGGCTTCAAGAAACCAAGCCTGAACACAGACATTCAGCCTCCCGAACTGAGATATATTTCTGTTCTTTAAGCTGGAGCAGGAGCATTATGAGTGCAGGTTGACCTGGGTTACACAGCAACACCCTGTCTGAGAAAAAGGAAGAAAAAGAGAAAGAAAAATCAATGTAGAGATTAACAACTCCGGGATCCAGCTCTTACAAGAACATTGCTTTGCTTTGCTTTATTTCTTCTATGCAGCTGGCCTGTTATTTTCAGTCTTCATAAATAGCCTAGAGACCAGGCCTATGGCTCCCTGCTCAGTTTCTTCCCACTTTTTTCTCTCTACTGTTTCACCTAGAGGCTGACCAGACTGAACTCAATGGCCGCAACGGGCATAATATAAAACAAGCAATAGAATATTCAGAGACCTTGCCTTAGTCAAGATCCAGGCAGGACTGCCTCCTCCCATTCATGTGCACATGTCATTATATGACGCCAATAGTTTGCCTATTTTTTTCATTTTATGTGTGTGTTGCCTACATGTGTATGAATGTAACACATGTGTGCAATGCCTGCAGAGTCAGAAGAGGGCATCGGATCCCCTGGAACTGGAGTTACAAACAGTTGTTTGATGCCATGTGGGTGCTAGGAACCAAACCCAAACCGAAACCCAAGTCCTCGGCAAGAGCAGCCAATGATCTTAACCACTGAGCAATCTGTCCAGCTCCTAGTTTGCCCATTTTTATTGCTAAATAATATTCCTTAGTAATGATGTGGAAGAGGTTGTTTATTCATTTACTGAAAGACAATTTGGTTGGTTATTTCTAATTTCTTATTGTTACAAATAAAAGTGTTAAACAAAATTACTTTCAATTTAAACATATCAGTATATTTCAATTTGGTTTCTTATAGATACTATGCAGTTGACTCATGTTTTAGAGCCATTCTTTCACTCTTTAAAAATTGATATGTCGCCAGATGTGGTGGCACAGGCCTTTAATCCTAGCACTGGGGAGGCAGAGGCAGGCAGATCTCTGTGAGTTCAAGGCCAGCCTGGTCTACAAAGTGAGTTCCAGGACAGCTGGGGCTACAGGGAGACCCTGTCTCAAAAAGACCAAAAAAAATTGATATGTTCATGCCATTTTCTGTATTTAAAAGGACTTGTGCCACTTTTTCAGCCTCTATGATTTTTATAAGAAATAGCCTTACTCTTCAGGTACAGGCATGCAGATCTCTATCTGTTGGAGGTCAGCCTTGCCTACACTGAGAGTTCCAGACCAGCTAGGGCTACATACTGAGATCCCATCGCAAAGGAAGAAAAGGGGCTAGAGCGATGGCTCAGCAGTTAAGAGCATTTTCTGCTCTTCCAGAGGATCTTGGTTTGGTTCCCAGAACATCGTTGACTCCAATTACTAAAAAATTTCTCTTTATAATGTTGTAGTTATGACATGTGTTGATGTGAATTTCTAGAGGAACATTACTGACTGTCTGTGTGTGTGTGTGTGTGTGTGT